ATATTATTTGTTATATTTTTATTATTCATTATTTTCACTTGACTCGCATAAATAATTTTGTTCGAAGAACATTTTATGCAGTTGTACTTCGCAGCACTTCACTTGCAATTTGCAATTTCTAGTTTTTATACTCATATTAATTGAAATATTATTATTGTTATTATTTTGTCATCGTGATTCCTATCACAATTTTATCCAAATTGCTTGACATTTTTACCACTTTTTTCAAATAATTTGACAAATTTTATTCTATTGTAGGCCTATATACCTTTCTATGCATTTTATATTAATTATTATTTGGATCAAGCCGTAGGACTAGGCCTAGAGTTGTTTGTCAGCTGTTGTTTGCTTCCTTCACTATTGTATATAGGCCTAAGTGAAAAGTAGGCCCTATATTAGTAAAAATAAATAAAATAAAATAAATCAAAATCAAATGTCAAATATTCATAAGTATTAGTTTTGATTGAGACTTGACATCAATGAAGCTGTCTGACATGAATAGTCATAGAACATTTTCCAGGAAAAATTAATGTGATACGACCCTCCATTATGGAGTTACTGTACGAATTTTTAAATAACATGAGGTCAAGAATTTAGCCTCAAAGCTTATCTTATTTTTGTCAGTTACGCACCACTGAGTTGGGAAGTTCCCTCTTTCCAAGAGGGGATGCAAATGCTTTGTGAAAATGAGTACACGGCGTTACTCATTTTCACAAAGAAATACACACAACTGGTTAGCTAACAATATGCAAATGTTACATGAACACTTGGGAAGGAAGTGCAATCACTTTCTGTTGCCTAGCAAACGTCTGTACTGTAGCGTGTGGGGGGGGGGGGGGGCTGGCCTACTGATGTACTGTGTAGCGGGGGATGATGAGGCATAATAAGACTAGGATTATCCTAGGCCTAAGTAGTCAGTGCAATTATATATGATAGAAAGTACACTTTCGAAAGAAATAAATTAAAATAAGAAAAAAAAAATAACAATAATTCAATTGCAGACGTACCTTGTTTAAGTATTATACAATGCTAACAATGCGGCTCTTGCAGCGCTAGCTAGGCAAGGCATCCATGTGCAAAGCAGTGGTGTTTGTTTATCCATTAAAAAAAGAAAGCCGGGAGTCGTGTCACCAAAACGGGAGCGTTGGCATATATGAATTCTGTGCACCTTTTTTCCTAGCGATTATCTTTTCAAGTTTGAGCTAGTTTTTGATGTATCACCTGCACGATTGAAATAATTTTACAGTATGCTGAAATTTTCAAAACTCACCAAGTGCAAATTTCCAAAGAACTCTCCATCGTAGTTGAATTAACCAGGTCTGGTAAAATTATTATATGGTGGTGGTGTGATTTTATTAATTATCAATTATATGTATAAGCATCAGGAAAATGAATTTTACTTGTAAGAACTTTTCTATGAGTGACAATATAAGAATCTTGTATCTTCTTCCTTTCACAGGGCCAGCACAACGTCCTGAGTTATATGAGGTAAGGAATGAGCAAAAAATGTCATTTAATTTAATATTAGTACAGATTTCAAGATTATTTTTGTAATAAGTCAGTATCTTGACAATACATGTTTTTGCCATGGTACTTGGTGGGTACTCTTTTCATTACTTTCTATGAAAGGCCTTGTAGAGTCTATCTATCGTTGTGTTTATACAACATGCTTAACATGAAAGCAGTGTTATGTCGTTGATGGTATTTTCACTACCCAAGGCAAGCTTCCTAACTTCGCCATTTATACAACACGCCATTACGAGTGTTACACACCGAAAGTATTGTATGGTGTAATCATATTTGGATACAGTGTCAAACCAAATATGCAATCCTACTTCTACTGAATTTGCGTGGTTTGAAAGAGGGAGTGGATTGTTAACTGTTGATCGATTGTGTTAATTCAATTTCATGTTTAAAGAAAATCAACAAAGAGGCCTAAAAAGTAAGGTCTATCACAGAAATATACATTGAAAATAAAATTACAGTTACGCAAAAAGAATGAGTTCAAGAACAATAAAACCAACAAAGTAGATAAATACTGTTAAAGAAAATACAAGAAAATCAATAAAATTCTGTTACACATTTCAAATACACCGCTATACCAGTAACGATTTTATCAATTGTTGATTGTTCTAAATACATCAAGCGATACTTCTATATTTTACCTGGTTTTACCGACTCGACCGAATAAACTATTTTTCTTGTTATTAGCAACCTGTCAAGTTGAATAATCACAGTGCGCCTGAGGAAAGAAGTAGGCACGAACCATTCCTAGGGTATCCACCGCGTAGGGTATCCACTGCGTAGGGTATCCACCGCGTAGGGTATCCACTGCGTAGGGTATCCACCGCGTAGGGTATCCGCCGCGTACGATCTTTGCGTGTATGCTGTAACCATGGCTGTAAATTGTGATTGTTACAGATGGTTACAGCATGGAGGTATTAATAATACCTCCATGGTTACAGCATGCACGCAAAGATCGTACGCGGCGGATACCCTACGCGGTGGATACCCTACGCGGCGCTATTTACACAATCTTTTGTTACTTTTTCGCCAGTGACGTCATGGTAAAATCGTATATAATCGCCTATAACTTCATAAAAAATAGCCAAATAATGATTTTAAGGTTGATTCTATTATTAATGGCATATCAAAAATCCACTCTAGAACAAAAAATCATTTTGCTAGTTCTCTTTTAATGATGTGTTGTATACAGTATAAGCGGGCCCTATGAGGAATGTGATGGTGAGACTGTAGCCTACTATCTTCCATCTGACCTTCGGCCCTTGGGAAGATTGTAGGCTACGGTCCAACATCACCTTGTAGCAATTAGATTTCACCATTCCCCGTTATGAGCAGTCAATATTTGTATCATATAATTTCTATGAAATTGAATCTCTTGTATGTTGTAGGAGGTGAAGTTGTACAGGAATGCAAGGGAGCGAGAGAGGCATGACAACTCTGCAGAACTTTTTGCTGTTATTAACACAATGCAGTATTTAGAGAAAGCCTATATCAAGGATGCTGTCTCACCGAAAGAGTAATTATTATTATTAATACTAAAATGATCATCATCATTATCATCTTTATCATTATTAACATCATCTTTATCATTATTAACATCATCATCTTCATAGTCAACATCATGATCATAATGTTATGTTTTCATTATTATAGAAACTGTCACGCCTATAGAGTAATTATTATTATTATTAATTATCATCGTCTTTATCATCAGTATCATCATCATTGTTATATCATTATCATCATCATCACCATTACCACCACTACTATCATCACATCATCATCATAGTTATTATTGTTTTCATTATCATATTGTAGAAACTGTCTCACCTAAAGATTAATTATTATTTTTAATATTATCATTATCTTTGTCATAAATATCATCATCATTGTTATCATCATTATCACCATCATCATCAACACTACCATCATCAACTCATCATCACAGTTATTATTGTTTTCATTATTATAGTAATTATTTTTATTATCATGTCACGAAAGTCTAGTGGAAGCTGCCTTTTATGTGCCTGCGAGTTAGACAACTGAACAAAGTACAATATACAAATTACAAAACAATTTAAAATAACAACAATTTATTAAACACTTAACCCACACAACGTAGGTACCATTCGCACTGTAGAAGAGGCGCAACTCATCTACCAATAATCTATGAATGGATTTAACAAAATGAAGCCATGGCATAATAAGGAAAAGGTTCTCATGAGTATACTTGCAAGTAAACGGCCAGACACGCTTCCCACACTGAATAATCCCAAAGGTAGACACGTACAACTCCGCTCGTCTATGTTCACACAAGTCGCTTCCTCTGACATGAACGACCTCAGACGCGTACAGCTCCGCTCGTCATGTTCACAAAGTTGCTTCCTCTGACATGAACGACCTCAGACACGTACAGCCTCCGCCCATCTGGTATACACGTTTGAACAGACTTGGCTGAAGGAAGCGACGATACACAACACGGCATCCACAGTCGTCTCGATACTCAACCAACACTGGTCTAGACAATCAAGCCTATCCATAAAGCCTTTAAATAAAACAATCCATAATTCCACAGAGCGTGCCCCATTTACAAACACATGGTTAAACAACCCCCATCTTATATATCACAATACATGAATAAATGGACCTATACCGATATAATTATCAATACTCAAAAAAATTAGGCCAAGCATAGCAATATTTAATTGTACAGTTTTACTCACCGTCACAACGGCTAACCAGGAATAAATTGTTTCAGTGTATTACCAAGGAAGGCCACTGTTAGCCTCGGCTAACTCCCAAACGGATTCCACAACCGTTGAGACTAAAATTTTACCACCACTGTGGTTACTACTGGCACACACATGTCCGGCTGCCTACCTGCAGTACACTGAAACAAAACCCTCACTAGCATCACATAACACCGTACCAAGACCAATTTGCATATTAGTCGACTCATCTGCACCAAGTAAGTTTACAATAAACAAGTATGGAATGCCAAGGATGCCTTTAGGGACACCAAAATTGCTGGTTTTCATGACACATCATATATCAATATCAAAGCCATTTATTCAGATTAAGATTACTTTACTGTTATAACACACACGAAAAGGTAATACTGTATGAACTTCTTCTTTCTACTTGCGAAACACACATAATGAAAGACATTAAACAAATTGCACTAAATAAGTTACATACCTAATACTAATGAAAATAACAGTAAAGTAGACATAAATATACAGGTACTTAACAGAGTTTAATTAGAGATGTATGAAGAGGTAGAGTTTATAATATCACTATCTGTGTATCCCCCTAAATTGTTTCAAAATTATTTTTAAAAAATGGAGGAGGAATATATTAATCAATTTCAATATTTTTTCTGAGAATGCCATTTCCTGCCATCTAGAGGTGCCATAATGAAAAAGTTTCTTGGCCTTTGCCCCAACCATGGTGGGATTGAGGTTGTCTACATTCTCCATTTATGAAAGCCCCTCCCCTAGGCCCCTTCTATTTCAAATTCCTGGATCTGCGACTGATAATATTTTAAGATAAAGAGCTGTTTATTATACTCTCAGAAAGCGGGCTATCATTGGTGTATCATTTTACGAGACTTTGGAAGATTAGAGTGATTATTGATGTATTTTTCATATATGTATGTCCTTAGCCACCAAACCATATCTTCACTTTTAAAAATATACCTTTTATTTTTATCAGGTATACTGCTGCTTGCTCTAAACTACTAGTGCAATACAAGGCTGCCTTCAAGCAGGTTCAGTCAGATGAATTTAAGACTATCGATGAGTTCATGAAAAAGTATAAGGTAAGTGCTATTCTAAAGTGAAATAAAATGATTATCTGAACTTGGCATGCCAAGGCAAGCCTTCCTTTAAAACAATGAAGATGAGGATTACTAAGGCCTAATCATGCCTACCAAGTCACAGTAACTGTTCTCAAGACCTAATCATGCCTACCAAGCCCTAGTCATCCTCAACAAGTCCTCATCACATCCTACAAAGCCCCAGACATCTCATCCACAAGACTCAATCATGTTTACCAAGCCCTAGTCATTCTCCACAAGTCATAGTCATGCCTACCAAGCCCCAGACATCATCCACAAGACTTTATCATGTTTACCAAGCCCTATGTCATTTTCCACAAGTCCTAATCACGCCTACCAAGCCCAGACATCATCCACAAGACTTAATCATGTTTACCAAGCCTTAGTCATCCTTCACAATATCAAATCATGCCAACCAAACCTCAATGATCCTTCGCAAGACCTAATCATGCCTACCATGTCCCAGATATCCCCCACAAGGCCCACTCATGCCTATCAAGTCCATTTAACTCTCGTCAAGACCCAATCATGCCTATCAAAAACCAATCATCTTCTATAGACCTAATCATTCCTACCAAGCCCCAAACATCTTCTACAAGACCTAATTATGCCTATAAAACCCCATTCCCAACCCACTCCTAAACCTATTCCCAAGACCTAATAATGACTAGAAAAACCCAATCCCTTCATAAATACCTAATCATGCCTTGTAAGCGAGAATCACTTCCCCATGACCCAAATTATTCCTATGCCCAATCATCTTCACCAATCTTTCTAGTAAAATTAAGCCAAGTAGACTTAAAGCTGACCACAACTCCACTGCAATATTAGCAGATGACGTCATCATAACACGTTGTTATTAATGATTTATTAGCAGATGACGTCATCATAACACGTTGTTATTAATGATTTATTAGCAGATGACGTCATCATAACACGTTGTTATTAATGATTTATTAGCAGATGACGTCATCATAACACATTGTTATTAATGATTTATTAGCAGATGACGTCATCATAACACGTTGTTATTAATGATTTATTAGCAGATGACGTCATCATAACACGTTGTTATTAATGATTTATTAGCAGATGACGTCATCATAACACGTTGTTATTAATGATTTATTAGCAGATCACGTCATCATAACACGTTGTTATTAATGATTTATTAGCAGATGACGTCATCATAACACGTTGTTATTAATGGTTTTTCTTCCAGATGGACTGCCCGGCAGCTCTTGAAAGGATTAGAGAGGATCGACCAATTACAATAAGAGATGATAAAGAGAATACTAGTGAATGCATTGCTCATATTGTGTCGGTGCGTATACATAACATGGACAAATTTAGACAGAAAATCGTGTTATATATATACAAAAATATATTCATATGATAACAGTAACAATTATGACACTAAAAATAACAATATAAAATATTTATCAGTTAATATTGTTTTATATTTTTAAATTGTTCACTTGCAGAACAAACATAACAATTGTTCTAGGATAGGCCTAATTTTTTACTGCAATATGCATAATACTGTATATGAATTAAAGATTATCTTTAAAATAAAATTGATGTTAAAATATTAAAATGTTATAACAAATATGGAATTATCAAAGGGTGGGTCATGTACGATTCTTCCAACGGGTGGTTTTGTCTGGGTTGTAATCCCATATGGTAGATTAAGCTGTCACCTACTCAAGGCTCGTCCACGTTGATAACTTTCAGAGGCTTCATCACCAGCTATTGTCGGTCCACTGCTGGACAAATGTTTCAGGATGTCGACGCCAAATCAATCTTTTTCTCTTGCTGCGTTGCACCATTTTACTCTTCCCCAAAAAATATCGATCTCATCTCTTAATCTTTTACGTTGTTTTCCCTTGTTCGTTTTGCCATCCATGGTCTGTTACTGTTTGTATTTGTTTGTATTTGTTTGTATTTGCTGTACTCCTGCTGACTACAAGTTCAACAACCAGAATGAAAACCACTGAGCCAAACCGCATTTTTACCATTATTGTTATTAATATTACTAATATTAATTTTAATATTATTTTATTTATTTGTATTCATTCCACTCCCCCCACTAGCTTGGCTAGGCCTTTCTACTACTGCCGTCAGTGTGTAGCTATTTTTTATGGGTCGATAAAACCATGGAGGAAATACATTTCCTCCATGATAAAACATGGGTACTGTACAATATCTTGATAATAGTTAGCCTAGCCCTACCATCTTCAGCGTAAGGCACCGTATTTTTTTACATTAAATGTGGAATACCCTGGCTCTACTACTTGGCTAGTGGTAAGCCCTAGGTTGTGTCGTCAGTTTCTGTGGTTGTTTTTTATGGGACTATGGGACTATCAATGCATAGGTCTACGTATGTAGGGACGACGGTAGAGCCTAATATACTTTTTTGCGATAATTTAATTACAATCCCCTGACGAACACTGATAAACTGGCCTTAACATAGCCAAATTAGAGGCTTTCGTCGAGCTCGAGTTCTTATTATATTCCATACACTGTAGTTTTGCCACTTGCACTATTTCATACCCTCTTCGCAGCCACTGTTTGGTTCCCGAGACGTCTTTTTGGTAACTGCGCATGCTTGACATGGCTTGATAACGTCACTTTTTCAATGTACATGCTCACTGGTTGTCTAGCATTTCCAAGCGCATGCTCACTGTGTTTTTTATAAATAATTCACGGACGTTATTCGGTAACAGCGCATGCGCATTGCTTAGTTTGGAATTCACATTTCTTCGTAGTAAAAGCTACCGCTACATACAGTTTCTTAATGACTATTTCCTCTTGATCGTTACAGCCCAAAGGTGCGGCGCAAAAATGATTTGAGAGTTGACAGTGACGGGAGGAGGCTAACAATTTAACTATCTCAATGTTGCCGTCTTCTCATCTAGGGAGAAGAAACCTAAAATATATAATGTACAATTTATATAATAGAACCATAGCAGTACTATTTTATTTTATTAATTTGCAATTTATTTAACCAGGATAAAATCACATTCAATGACAAAAGCACTACAAAGAGAAAATAAACTACATTGTTATTAACAGTGGTCCCCATATCACTATGATATTTAGTCTTATACTTGTATGTATCTTACTTGTATTTTTGGGCCGTCATAAAGCACAAATGCTTATATGGCCCACCTTTATTTCAAGTAATGGTACTCATCCGTGGTGATGTAAATGTTTCTGGTACCGTGTGCAAAGTCTATAACTTGTTTCATTTAATTCTGTACTTTTAAGCCTGGTTCTCACAAGAGCCCTAGTATCGGGAGCTAACCGTTAGCGCTAACCGTTACCACCTGTGTGAGAACGCCCGATCGGTTAGTGCTAACCGTTAGTGGTATCAATCGCTATCGGTTAGCACGTTGAGCGCGTTTCTATCATCAACCAATCACACGTATGCATTTACAATTTCCAGTTTCTTATTGGCCAGTTATTCGATCATCATATTCTTGGTATCCGGATCGGGATCTTCTCGACTGGGCGCACTCCAGCTAACGGTTAGCAGGATCCGGATCCTGCTAACCGTTAGCTGCCGTGTGAGAACATAGCCTTTAAGAGATGGCACAAACTATACATGGTCATTTTTGCTGTGAGACCTTTAAGTAAGTTTATAAAAAAAAAAAATCTATTCTGCAACATCAGTAAGGGGCTACGCTAAGTCACTGATTAGGATGTGTGCATCGTCAGTCAGCACTGCTTGAGTCATGGTCACCTCAGCCTAAAGCGCGTCCTACCCTAAATACAACTAATGGATGTTCCTTCCAAAATTCATTTAGTCCAGATATAAACGTATTTTATTGAGGGTGTATTCACCATCTCATCAGGGAGTTCATTCCACGCTTTAACTGTTCTTTGTTGTTTTTGTATCATTTTTTTTTTTTTTTTTGTAGCTATTCATCACTGTGATGGACAAGTTGAGGTTGGATATGAAAGCGGTTGATGAGATTGAGCCTGAGTTACGAGAGCTGAATGATACCATGAACCGAATGAGCTCCCTACCAGCTGATTATGACGGAAAGGAGAAAGTCGCTAAATGGTAAGTACGGTACAGCACTGTGGTAAGCACAGACACAGATTTTTAAAATTATTTTATTATTATTGTTTTTACTATGATCATAATTATATTTGTTATTACTGTATATTGTTATTGATATAAATATTTAAATTGTTTTATATTAGTATTATCATAAGTGTCATTATTATTATTATTATTATTATTATTATTATTATTATTATTATTATTATTATAAGTAATGGCGGGTACAATTAAGGATATAGTATTATCCAGCACTGGAATCGTTACTTCTTCTGTTAACCTAGTGGTTAAGGGTCAACCCCCACCCTTGAATTACAATACACCATTCAAGCTCAAAATCGGCTAAATCATAGACCCATCAAATACAAATGTAGCATTTTATAATTCTTGCATCACAAATCCTCTGTACAGTAATGTTATTATATTGACCTTTAAAGGGTCAGCACTCCTTAGCATATATAATTGATCTAGCTCTCAAGGAAAAAAAATATTTCTTCCCTGATAAAAAGAACTCTGGCTACGCTACTCATTTCACCTAGCTTTAAAATCTTTAAGGCAATGAGCTTAATTCTATGGTTTGACTGCAGGGCACTGTGACAGTGATTTTGTTGTGCCATTTGTAAGGTCAGCTTTGTTTCGTTTTCGTTTCTTTTATTTATTTGACCTTTATAAAATAATACAGAAAAATATCCGGGAGCAGCTTAAGAAAATAAATCACTATAATTCTTTCAAGTCAGCTGCCACCTGAACCCTTTATCCAGACTAAGATAAGATAACATTTATTGTCTAATGAAACAACTGGAAATTTGTTTTCCTCTGGCAATACAAGACACTAGGCAAGATTAAAGTGAAAACACAATTTTGATAAAAATATTTAAAAGGTCATGCGGATATCTAGAATCGATCAATTAAAAAGATAATAATGAAATTGATTAAAAAAATTTATTAAAAAACAATCCGAACTCGTACCATTTGAAATTTCATTTGACAAAAAACATAGCCACATCATGGCTATATATTGGCATACAACAGTTTTTCATCAAAGAATATGTGATTGCCTTGACAGAGCTTAAGAACTGTTTATATTTCATCGTTTGTCTTCATTAGGGTTTATCTCTTCTAAATATACTTACTTGGACATTCAGTGCGCTGTTAGTAGATTAGGATGCCTACTTTCTTACAAGAGAATATTTATCCCTGTACCAAACCCACAACCCACTCAGTCCGATTTTAGAGATGCCTGGTGGTGGTATGTTACTCCAAAACGCTGCGGCGTTTTCCATTCAGATTCTGAACCTTGTGGCGAAGATTTCAAACCACTCGTTGACCATTCTTGACCGGCCATGCTAAGATACACCAGCTTGCACTGTTGACAGTCTGTAAAGTGGCTTGTGTTATATTTCAGTCCTAGGTGCGAGTATTTCAAAAACACAAATAAGAATACGGTGTGTGTATAATGAGGCTGCTTTTCATCAATAATAATTGTAACATCATGTCACGTAAAACTAAATAATTATACTACAGTAGTGGTCCTGTAATACACAACCCTAGGAACTATGCATGTAGTGGTAGGAACATTACTCTGCTATGGTCCTAATGATTTGTAGATCCCACATAATCAAACTATGCATGGGGTTAAATAATAATAATAATAATGATAAAGCATACTTATTTTTTTTAAAGTTCATCGGGGGAGGGCGGAATAAAAATAAAAATAAAATTTTGTTTTCTTAATTAGCAAATATTTTTGCCAAAAACATCCAGATGGAGGAAAAAAATAAAATTTTATTGGTGAATGTAACATAGGATGGTTAAATGCTTCAAATTTATATAATGAGGAAGAAATATACATATTTTATCTGTAGAGATTTCAAGGCAGCGGAGGGCATAATAAAAATAAAGAAAATTTTTGTTTCTGAAATTTCCACTTTTTCGTCCCGGTGGGTGCGCTAATTGGCCAAAAAATCATCAATATTTGCAGTCGGCAGGTTCGCTAAACCAGGTATAAAAAAAGTCTCGCCTAATATAAATAACGATATTAATGATTACAATTGTAATAAAGATGGTGATATTAATAATAATATTAATAAATTGAAAAAAAATAAAATAAAAATGTGTGCATATTATTTGTTATTTCTAACTTTCAACTAGAAACTGCGATAATAATATCTAAAAATACCTTAGATTATATTTTCGCTGATTCTCATCATTTTGTTTTATTATGCACATTATAATTTCTTTTAATTTTACTTTTATTTTGACACTCAAATGCTCAATAAAACTAGAATTACATCAAGTTGTGAAATTATTTCTCCTTGATTACCATATATGGAAATTTAATCTCCAGGAAATAGTAAAATCCTTAAATAGCGCCCTCTATATGTTGCTATGTATGATCTTTGTTGTCCCTGGCAAATATTTGCGGTTTGTCTTCTTTGTATGGTCCTTACTTTGTGTTTGTTCACGGTTTACTTGTATAATTCAAACAAAGTGTTAATAATTGAAGTGAAACAGGAACTGACTCTTTCAATTTTTTTTTACAAGTAGTTGTAGTATTATCCAACACTTGCAAATGTCCAGTTATTAAGGTTTATCACTTGTACTTCTAATTTTAGAATTAAAACTAATGGGAAACATTTTTTGGTAATCAGAAAGTAATCGTGACAACGTACTATAATACACTATACATATTTCTAAATAATATTTTGACCGTTATTGTTAGATTTATTGTGTGGTTTCTAAAGATTTCCACTCTAGTTTTTTTTCAATTGTTTGCTGAAAACTGAGTTAAATTTCTGTTTCTTTTTTTTTTTAACTGTATAGGCTGAAAACCATGGGCAGTATGAGGGCATCGGATGAGTTAGATAGCGAACAGATTCGCCAAATTCTCTATGATCTTGAGTCGGCATACAACATGTTCATCCGTGGGCTTCAGTCCAAGTAGGCTGTCATGTGGAAGATGTAGCTGATCAGGATTTTTTTTTTATAAGAAATGGTCGGCACAGTTTAAATGGAGCTGTGGCTTAGTGGCCCCCTCACATTTCAAAAGTTGTTAGTTCGGTCCTGTAAAGCAGCAGCAATTTTTCTCAAAGCTTGACTCCAGACGAGTCATGTGATCGCTGATTGGATTTATCTTTTAATTTTTTTTTTCGTTTGGGGAATTTTTACTTCCAGTGCCTAGTGCAATCACCCTTGCATATATTTTTTTTTCATCTTTAACATTTATATTAATTCCAGCATTATTGGAAGATAAATCTTATGTATATTATAATATAATGTATAATAAAATCAATCTGCATACAACTGTGTTTCGTCCTTTACGGACCCATCAGTGCAGCTCAGATTTTTGAGATTGAATATTAGCTATGAAACAAGCAAGCCTGTAACAAGGTAGTTTCAAAGCATTCATTGTACGGTCCTAAGAGTGCTCAAACTACATAAAGTTATTATCTAAAAAATATTTATGTAATCACTGGTAATTTAAAATCATTTTTCATATCATGTATATAAGAATAGATTCATTTTGTATTGAATTGAAATAGCATGTAAGGTCATCAACACAATATATTAAACTGTTCTTAAATAGGTGTTCATAGATAAGTGCTATGATATGTGACGTATTAGAAAAGAGTATGGAATTCTATGCTATTTGGTATTTGTAAGACGCGAGACGGCATGCATTAACAAGTCTCTAGTCCTATAAGCAAATTCAATGGAATGTTGAAATAAGATACGAGTTTATGAACGAACTTATGATCAAACGGATATTGAGTTAGATTTCATAAAGGGTGTAGTTGCATAGAACATGAAAAATAGTGCAGAGTCTATAATTATAGTCCTACAATGTAAGCTTCTGTGTTATTAAAGAATAGATTTAAGTACAGTATTTGATAATTATTCTGATTGTATTATTGTGGTCGTATTAGCAACAAATCGTTTGATCCCCATTGGCAAAAACTTTGCTGGAGGCTCTTTGAGTCTCATAATCACTGTGTGAAACATTCCAAATGTACTCAAACCAGCAACATCAAATTCTCCAACGATTACCGTATTACCGATCTTATTCTTCAACGTAAGACCTACATTGTTGGCCTAATAAACATGGATTTCATCGGCGATTAGAAATTACCATGCAACTAGACTTTTTTCTGACCTTGCCATTAGTCGTTTTTTGCCCTTGTGATGGTTAAACAGTCTGTTGTTGCTTCTTCATCATCTTATTCCATCATAGGACTAAGAATGATTTAATTCGTATCTCCGTCATAGTCACTCGCCGCTTTAATAACACACTACTACGACACCATTTATTTTACAAATCAATCGAGGGAGTAGTTGCCTTATATTATCACTATGATGAGAATTATGAAAATCATCCTGATTCAAAGTACATTTGACCTCCTGTATGTGCTATCTTCTCTGGATTCAATAATATTATATAGAAGTATCTAACTTATAACTTATTGGTGGACCAAGAATTCATATTGCTATAAATTAAGTAGAGCAGGTGGTTAAGATGAATTCGAGTTAACTCGGCCCAAGTCAACTCAAAATTCTCTGCCCCCATGTCAACTCTCGAGTTGACCTGTTTAAGTTACGATGCTTGTCTTGGTTTCAATTCCAGTAAAACCATGATTTTTTCTCTACTAAACAAATTACTGTACGTGGCAAGTCACTTGCTCTTTGGTACGAATTAAATGAAATTAATTAAATAAATAAAATTGCCATACGAGACATATAAAGAGAATGAAATTTAACACACTGTTTATTATTTACCTATTAGGAAGAATGTTCCGAAGGTGTCCCCTTACGTGGCTCTACTTTGCACTGATACTAGACATCATCATTATTTTTCGCTGTCGCTTCTTTTGAATCATGGTTCATGTTTGTTTAAACATTATGGAGGTTTCCCAGCCTTACGAAAACGATAACGAATACGACTACTTCATTATCATTATCGTCATTCGTGTCTAAAACATTCTGAATGACGAGCTGAATGTGATCCTTAGTTTATGAATCGGCTACGTTGTGGCAGGTATGCTACTGTTAGGGGAAGGTGTGTTTAGAAATTTGATGACGTAACCGTATTCGTAAGCTTGTAAAAACTCCGTATTACGAAAATAGTATGCAACTAGAGGTCTCCCTCTAATGAAAGGCTCCTCTAATTAAAGACCCTCCAATTTAAGATCGCCTCCAATTTAAGACCACATTTCTGTAGCTCCAAATAAACGTTTATCTTTTATTTTTATAAGAATATATATATTTTTTTCTAATTGAAGACCATTAAAACCCCAGTCCAAAAAGTGGTCTTTTATATATAATATTTTGTTTTCCTTCTTGGCTCCTTTCATAGTGCCTTTCTTTCTATCCCATTTCAGACATTTGTCGTTCCATTTTCCTTTTTTCTGGATCTATCATCTTTGTCCTTTTACATCTCAACTGTTACTGAACCTGTCGTATCTTTATTGAACATTGTATATTTTTAAATATATTTTGTTTTAAATCTTTGCTACACTGTTTGCGTGTGATAGAATTGACATATTAATGTATTAAGATAAATTCCATGAAATTAATTTGAGTGTTGGATGAATGTGGTTAAACCGTGACTTGGGAATAACAATCGGTAATGAAGTAGTTCTTTTATTAGTTGAAATATCTTTTTAATAAATTTATTGTATATTTGTGTTTGCTTTATTTAAAATACTGTTTTACTAATTTTGGTTTTTAATTATCTGTAAATCTTGATTTTTTTTGACGATTTTCACTAATAATGATTAAATAATAATAAGATGTTGCATTAATGTTAAAGTAGTTTGTTTCTGCTCGTGAAAAAATGAGTCCCGATAACAGTGGTGTATCTAAGACTCTTGAAATGGGTGGCG